GTTAGTGTTATAAAATCTTTCATTATTTGTATTATTGCGATACGAAAAGTTGAACTATTCTGTGAGCGTAAACTATTATATTAAAAATAATTTTTAATATGGCCACGCCAACCAAATCAAACACTTGGGCTTTCTTTTAATTAAATTTGACATAGGTGGACAATGTAAAATGAGTAAACAGATGGTTAAAAATAATAGAAATACTACCAATTTAAAAAATAATTTCAAGAGTCATCACATAGGCACTTATTCTGAGCTAAGCAAAAGTGAAGAAAGTTCAACTACAGAAATAGTAGGTGGTCCTAACAGTGGTAGGCTCTACTCTATTTTTTTTACACGAGGAAATGTCTACCCGACTCTTGGGTACAATGATGGGTTATCAGGGCCATGGGAACGCTTTCCCACACATCCGCGGCCCCACCAGCGTCGGCTAACCGCTTTGCAGGTCCTCCTCGGAAGAGGACTTCTCCTTCCTCTTCCCCTTTTTAGGTAACGCGCACCAGGAACATAATGCAACTTGGATATTGTCAAATCAAAGTTGAATTTCGTATATAAAGTAACAAATGAGATTGTATGGGGAGATAGAAAACAGGAGGAGATCGGAATATATACAGTTTTAACAGTGGTAGAGCCACGCGGCAGCTTTTGCTGTCGCACGGATGGGCTGGCTCGAACCGGGGTGGTACCACGACCTCACAGAAAACCAGCGTGAAGTAGAGGTTTACCTCTGCGTTTCGCTTGGTGAGTGCAGGTGGCCGGAGGCCCTTTTTACTGGGAATGAGGCATTCCATCTTAGTCCTCACGTGCGAAAACGCATCTACATTTTGATTTGTAATAGAGAGGATAGATGTAGATGTCTATGGGCCGCAGCAACCACTTACCATCAGGTGGACTGTGTGCTCTTTTGTCACCCTTATCCTATAAAAAAGGGGGATATTTTCCATAGTTACCGCGCTTTTTTCATTATTTAGTTTTTTTTTATAGGATCGTGTGACAAACGAGCACCCAGTCCACCTGATGGTAAGTGGTTGCTGTGGCCCATAGACATCTACATTTATCCTCGTTTGCGAATCAAAATGCAGATGCGTTGTCACCCAAGATGGAATGCCTCTTTTCCAGTAAAAAGGGTCTCCGGTTCTCTACACTCACCGTACGAAACACAGCAGTGTTTGTAAACTGCTGTGTTAGTATTCCCATCTCCTGATTTGTTTCCTTCTGTCGCCTCTTACGACACGCACGGGATAATATGGGTTATTTGATATTGTTACACCGCCACTACACGATAAAAACATAAAGTAAACATAAAAGTAAATATTTATGAGAATAAATTAATACTAATGTAAAATTTATTAATAAAATTTTGAATTAAATAAACAGCAAAAACGTAAAGTAATGATAAATCTTTTAATAGAAATTAAGCTCTAGTATAGTAATAAATATAAAGTTATTTTTAACCAAAAAAATATGATTTAAGTAACTCGCTTCGAACCCTTGAGGCATAAGCTTAAGCTTTGCAAACATAATATATATTTTTTATTATATTTTTTATATATTGTGTATTAGTGTGTAAACTGCTATTTTACGCTGGTAGTCCGTGAGAGCGTGGTCCTTCCCCGGTCGAGCCGACCCATTCGTGCTACAACTATACTACTAATATAGCTGCAGCATGGCTCTACCACGTATAAACGTTATTAGAAACGTGCTGCTGCAAATCTCCTGGTTTGATTCCCTCTGTCGCCACTAACGACACTCATGATATGGGGTAGTGGATATTTTTTTTATTGTTACACCGCAATTACACAGTGAGTAATAAGTACTTTATCTATCCCACTATAAACTCAACGAAACGCAGCTGGTGACAATAAACAATGATTGTAGCTATTAGCTGTGTGATTGGAGTTGTGCTCCGTATGATCTCCGAATTATCTTAACTCACGAAATTATCATATGCCGTGGGTAAAAGAGGTTGATTCTTAACTAGCGGTCTGGATGTGTGATCTGATTGTCACCTGTTTTGTCAACCTTACCCTTTTATTTAAAAACAAAGTGGAATGGTGATGGTGTTTTTTTAATCTCTAAAACATAAATAACAATGCAAACATTGAAACAATTTTATTGTGAAATAAAAAAATATTTAATACTAGTACCCTGTGTGTTGCTGCCGCAGAATGGAAATATCGTTTTAAATTTGGAAGGGTTATATTGTTTAATTAGCAATTATAATACATTAATTGAAATTGAATGACATATTAAGTATTATGACTTTTAAATAAATACGTCATTTTGGGTACATTTCATTACATACATATACTCTGAAATATGTCGGTGGTCGGTACGATACGCGCGCTACCTACTGTAACCTTCACGCAAGTGCAAGCAATAAGTTGAAAAAATTTTAGCGCTATGTGATAAACGGTACGTAACGGTAGCAGCGCATAAAATACGAACAAACGAAAATTAATTTTTATATATTAGATTACCAAAGAATGCAGAACTAAAGTCATGAGCTAATCACTCCTTCAACTTAGAAAGTTCACCAGCAAACAATCTGCGTCTATTAAAGTTCATTGTTATGGTTGTTGATTTTATTGCTTCCTTAAAACTTACTGTAGCTAGTTCGTACTTCGACTCGATCAGCAACGTCTTTATTATGAGCCAATGATGTCGGTACATAAGATTTGGTTATACTGACTCTCTATTCCCTTTACAATGGAACACGGTAGTGCAAGAACTGCTATTTGGCGGCGGAAATAGGTAAGAGTGTAACTACCCAAACGTATCCTAGGCAGTAAAAGTCTTTGGTTTTTTTTTATACAATGTGGGTTACAAACGAGCCCACTTGTTGGTAAGTAGATGCCTTGGTCCATACACATCTACAACTACCCTCGCTTTAGAATCAAAATGCAGAGGCGTTGTTACTCTCGAGTACTAAGATGGAATGACTAAAAAGGTTTTCGGTTTTCTACACTCGTCATAGAAAAGCATTAAGCTGCTATTAAACGCTTTCTTGGGATCGTAAAGCGAAAACGGGTTGCGTTGCCACTGATGATATGGCCAATCTCTCATCTTTCAATGACATTTGAACTGCAACTCGACACATCGCCAAGCTATATTTCACTAAAAAAACTTTTTCCTCGGCATTCGCCAATCCTAACACAAACTTGCCTCTTAATGCCTTCTCGAGTTCTATTACAAAACCACAAAATTGTGTGAGATGACGAACCCGGGCCGCCCATTCAGTAAAGTTTTCGCCTGTTTTTTTTTTCGCTTTATAAAAAAACTTATCTTTCGACAAACCTACATTTCTTTGAGCAAAATTGGTTTGCAATATTTTCCATAAGTGTTCCAGTTTTAAAGGAAAAACTAAATCGCCTACTAGGCGATATGTATCTTCTACTAATGATGTGAGCAAAAAGCTCTTCTGATAACTCCTGCCTTATCAGTGTCGTCGTGATGATCAATTGCCATACAGAACTGGACAAATCTACTCTTAAAAATAGCCCACTCTTGTATGTGGTGATCAAATGTGAGGTTGTTGCCGAAAAACTTATTTCCTTTATTTGACACTAGCTGTGTCCCGCGGTTTCACCCGCGTCATCACGTGTCCGAGGTGCGCGACATGACCTAGTTCAAGCATTTTATAACGGCTAGGGTTTAAGCGTCGTTCGCGCGGCCAGCCAAGTATTGAATTATTTTAATTTTACATTATCTCTTAAACTATGCGTCCAAATAACATGGTACAAAGAACAAAGTTTATCTTAATAAAATTATGGCTTACGTATAAGAAATAGACATATGGTATCGCGGACTTTTTTTAGACTGAGTAAAGGTCTATATATTTCTAGAACATTATATTTACGTATCCCTAACGATAACACCAGCGTACGCGGATAAATCATTTCGGGAGTGCTTTTTCTTCTGACTTGCTTAACAAATATCCATATTTAAGGCTAGCTGAGTAATATAGCTTAATGCTAGATAGCCTATACTATTCCACATGAATCTGGCTATAATATAATCAGTCGCAATTTTACTACCGTTTAGTGCAGTCGCTTCATAATGACGTGACGGCTCTAATGCCGTCACGTCACAGTATTTTTGTAGCGTACTGCACAAAAATAATTCGAAATGGCGTGTCAACCTAAACGCTCCGAAACCGTCGTAATCCACGAGTTCCTGGCCTTTGTTCAACAAAAATTGGACGTCATGGACCAGGTGTCTCTGGAGCAAATACTGATGACAAGCTTCACCGAGGACGAGATCATCCAAGCGAAGAAGATATTAGCAGATTCAGCCGTGGCCCAAATCCGTCTTATCACACTTCACAGGGATGGACGCGGTAAGAAAGACCTGCAAGATATCTTCAGGCTGTTCAATGAGACCGACCCTGACGACATCCCAACTTTCGTCGCGCGTGATCTCAACAAGCTGCCTCCTGTGACGTTCGATCACGTAGACGTCACCAGATTGTTGAAAGACATCACCACGTTGAGAGCCGATGTTACCGACATCCGTTCCAAATTTGAGGAATCGGAACGAGCCGCATCAGAGCTGAGGAACGAAGTTAATATGTTGCGCAACATAATTGCAACGTCTGCAAATTCACCGCCTTCGCAGAATGTAAATACGACACGCGGTAACCGTAATAGTAGTCATATTTCACGGATAATTGGACGTAGATTAGCAGAAAGGACTCAAACCACAAAATATCACTTTTGAGTAATCGATGTTTAAAGTTCGGAGATGTATTCTTCAGTGATATTGGACTCAGAATATTAAGGTGTTAGGTTAGTTAAGGGATTTAACAATTGCGTTTTAAATGGGTTTCAGTTTGATGGTATTTTGCATGTTATTCATGAGTTATTGAAAAAAATATAGGTTTGAGTCCTTTTTGATAAATTTGTATTTTCATGATGCAGTCTTTATTTGAATTCTACTAAAATGACTCAAGTGATTAATTAAAATTAAAATTAAAGGTTTTTTAAAAGAAAGTCAATAAATGAATCAAAGCAAAATTATTTATTAATTACCATTTATAATTTAAAATTAAACACAAGTAGGAACTGATCGACCGTGACTCTTACTATTAAAAAATCCAAAATGAACTCTTTACTTTTATTACACTATATCTTGCAATAAGTCTTCCTGGTCATCCTGCTCCATCTGCTCTGTCTGCTCTATAAGCAGCTCAAAATCAGTAACACAATCGAATCCATCGACATCTTCAATAATATTATCATTCCCCTTTAGAGTTTTATAGAAATCTAAACAATCTTTGGGAATAAAGTCAAAGATAGATTTCAAGTCGTCCAGTTTTGCTTGAGCAATTTCTTTCCCATTCGGCCACAGCAACACTAAGTCCTCTTCCGATATTTCTAATCGTTTTCCTCTTAATTTCTTTTCAATGTTTAGCTCTTCAAACATTCCATCAGTATTTTCCATGTAGATTGTATACTTTTCATCTCTTTTCAAGAGTATTTTTTTTGTCCTTAACCAGTTAACTTTAGCTTTTGTAACGAAAGTTTTTCTGTTGACAATTTTCTTCTCCATTTTGCTGGTAGAAAAGAAATCATTTCTTTGCATCCTATAAACCTTCAGTGGATTTTTTTCTTGCAGCTCTTAATCACGTTAATGTATTGATCGGGGGTGTATATTCTTTGGTGATATTTTAATTGGTATTCTATTTTAGAAAAATCGGTGTCATTGGGAAGAAATGTATGCCCTGACTCTAAATATTTTAGTGTTATTGTTTTTAGTCTCGGATGAGAATCCAATACTGCTTTCAGTATTAAAATAATTTTTATGTTACGATTCTGCCCCCCACAACAATCGCTCCACAACACAAGATCTTCCACTTCATGGCTGAGATCGTTTTTAATGAACCGTACGAGGCACGACCCTACCTCTTGTGCTCCTCTTCCTGCTTCTCCTTCAACCCAAATGTTACAGTAACCTACGTCGTTTGAACCGGCATGAATACCACTATTGTAAAGCCAAAGCTGGCGCTTGTAAAAAACTATATTTGTGGGTATCCGGGGAAGAGGAAGCGTTTTTTCTAGGTCATACGTCAGACACTCAAATTTCTCGTCAATTTTAGCTCTTTGCAGATCTTGATTCATTTGAATTCTCAGTTCTTCAGCTCGTTTTAGATGCTCTTCTTTTTCTGCAACTAATATTGTCTTTTCTTCGGATGAACAATTTTTTATTTTATTTCTTAGCGAATCACACTTGTTGCACGTATCTTTTTTTAATGGCTTACATCGCAAATTAAAATTACTATAAAATATACGTTTGAAAGTATTTATAGAAACAGGTCTTTTTAATGTACCGTAAACAGTTTTTAATTCATCTATATAAATTTCATGAATTTTTTCGATAGTCGTGCCCGGTTTTAAATATTTACTGTCGTTATTTTCTCTCCTATAGTGGGACTCATATTTAGGCAAGGAATTTATTATATTTTTAATGAACTCGACATCCTCTTGTGGCGTCTTATTCCAGCCACCTTGAGCTTTGCCTCTATTGTCTTTCAAAGCGGTACCAGATCGTTTTTTCAGTAAGGAAATATCGACTTTCTTAGAAGAAATTTGAAAATTATGTGTGAACATATCTTTGCACACTTCTATGTCACATATAAAATAATTTCTTCGGTATTGTCTTGCTTTCTTTTTACCAGATTTATTATTTATCAAGGTGTATGATCTAGATTTAGGGCTTTCTTTGACGTTATTTAAAATATAAAGCAGTTGCGCTTCATATGAGCCTAATAAAACATATTTTTCGAACTCTTCTTTCCTATTTTCTTCTGAAACGCGGAAATAACATTGCCTAGTGCATTTACACGTATAGTCTATAAAGTTTTTAGACGGCATTAGTTTATTTTTTCCATGATAAGGTAAATTGGCATATTTAACGTTCTTTTTCTGTGCCATAGTATGCTCTGGGTGTTTTCTTTTACGTCCTTTTTTGGGACGACATGCCTGTGGTTCACTTTGTGTTTCTAAGATCAGATAATCGTCATTATTTTGAACTTCAAAATTGGTAATTTGATCCAACGTTTCATCACCACGAATAACATGAAAAGTTGTACTTGATGTTTCGTTTCTTATTTCGAAGTCCTGATTTACCAAATTATGCACCACAGCAGCATGAGTTTGTACAGTTCCTGTTGAAACACCAGCTTCGAAATCATCATCACTATCCGGTATACAACATTTTGCCGAAATTATATTGATGTCATTATTTTTCTTTACTCTAATTGAATGGCTACTATCTGAATCTTCTTCACTATCAGGCACATAATCAGTGTCCGTATCACTACTATAATCCCCTGGAAATATTCCACTCAAAGTTTCAACTAGCTCTAAAGTGCTTGGAGACATAGCAGGCAAAGGTGATGGATTTTCTCCACAACCTGAAATATCTCAGAAAAATTAAACTTAATTATTCATTTATTTTTGATACATACAAGAATAAAAAAGAAGCTCATAACTACATTGAATTGTCTTATATCCGGGTACCCGAGGGGTCAAAGGCGAGTACGGTGGAGCTACTGGTGAATCCACTTCATCTGAAAATAATATGATTTTGATATATCATTCGCAACACCGATTTTTTTTTTATTTTAGTTAGTTGCAAATAAAAAAAATATTTTATTTTAGCTAATACCTATTTATTCATTTGTTCTAATTATAAGCTAGGGCCATTAATAATTATTTTATTACTGTGCAAATTAAGAATTCATTAGTGTTACCTTTGCACTCGTGTATATGCCTTGACGCAACTACGCCTAAAGGCGTCAACGGTGAATACAACGGAGCTTTTGGCGAATCCACAACATCTAAAACATTTTATACATTTAGTAAGTACACTCTTGGCTACATATCAAGCTATAAATCCCAATATAAGCTGATCTCGCAATGTATAGGATTTCCATACGATGAGAAGCCAGCCTATACTGGATAATTTATAGCTTTATATGTATGTATGTAGTCGCGTGTACCACACACCTACAATTATTGACTAAATAATTCATAATAATTATTGAATACACTACGGTCTCATCATATTCCATAAATTGATTTAAGCATCGAATAATGTTAATTAGTACCGTAAATAAGTATGACGAAAAATCCACTTACCAATTTTCGATAGAACTTGTTCTGGCATATGAGATAGCGTCAATGCAGTTGCAGGATTCAAAAAAGCAGCTGGCGTTGTCACATCATCTGTAATAACATTAGCTTACATACACCACAACCCACACATATGTTATGTCTAGACTAGGCTCGAAAAAATAAATAAATATAATATAGTAATAATAGACTAATAAGTACTTTCAATGTTGGTCATTCTAGACGATTTAAAGCCGTTACCGAATCGATGTTATTATTATCGCAAAACAGCATAGATTAATTTCAAATTAAGAATATCATTATAATAATTTTATTGTCAGTTTAAGGTCAATAAATAATAATAACAAGTAGATAGATAGGCACTTACCAGTTCCCTCAGTGTCATCCCTGTTTACTGGTGCCATTGTTAACAAAGTTTCATCCTTCTTCTTGTCTGTACCTGCACAAATAAAATGTAACGTCTTAATAAGTTTGTACAGTTTCTAAACTTTTTGAGGTTAAAGTTAAAAGTATAAAATTACTTACACTGCGGGAGTTTTTTTTTCTTCAAAGCACTTGAGATGATCCGGTCAATTCTTTTCATCGTTACAATCTCACAGCACGATATAAAAAAATATATTGTATTGGCCGTTACACTATTTCCGCCGTACGCATAACGCAAGTGATTACACAAGATACAATACAACAAGGGTTGCAACTTATTAAACTAAAATAGTATAAGTAAAAAAATGTTATCGTTTAAAAAAATGCATGGTAGTAGGTAATCTATGAAAATAATGTTGTTACATATACGAGAATGTCCTTAAGTCATTTTAGTGACTTTAAAGTTGCAAATAAATATTAATCTTAAAAGCCCTAGACAGTTTGAGATTTTATAGCCAAATTATAAATGCACTTTTTTTTTTTAATTTCAGTTCATCAACAATGATTCAGAGAGTTTGAGTCATTTCAGTTGAATGTTCAAAGAGCGTTTTACGATAATATTTATTTATCAAAAACGACCTAGGAAACTTAAGTCGTTTTTGATGAATAAAAAAACAGACTCTTTTCTTTGTATGTGTATTTATTTAAAACAACTCACATGAATTGAGGCTAATAAGTTAAATAAAGTTTAGTGCGTTCCCTTGAAATATAATTTATTAGAAAGGATTCTAGCGGGTTGGATCTATTTAGCTGATCATATAGAAATGCGCACCCTTATGTGGGTTGGTCCCCAGTATTTAAAAAAATGCTTTCTATTTGTCTGAGGCTAGCTCGTTTTTGCTGAATGATAGACCCGACCTTTTAGGTTCATTTGGTGTATCTAACTCATTTTTGACAATATTGTGGGTTGAGTCCTTTCTGCTAATCTACGTCCAATTGCGACTCCGTCACGCGATACCGTCTGTCAGCGGGTTGATAACCGAGAAACTAGGGAGACCTCGGTCGTCATTGCATCACCACCTCAACCCTTGACTGAACCCATTAGTACTCCTCCGACGAAGCTAACCTCAAAACAAGAGAAGACGTTTGCGGATGTTGCCCGAAAATCTTTACAACCGGCACCCTCTTGTGGTCGAGAGCGGAAGGTGGTGACCCAAGACAAGATTGATAAGGACGGGTTTACTCTTGTTGAGAAGAGACGTCGGTCGCAACCCGTCTGTAACCAGCGTGGGACCGCGAAAATAAATGCTAGTAAAACTCTGCGTGCTGTGGAGCCAACCATACAACTCTACATCTCCCGTTTGGACAAAAGTACGTCGGGAGAAGACGTCCTGCGCTTCGTGGAAGAACGAAGCCGATGCCGCATTGAGGATCCGATCTCTTTACATTTGCAGCGTCTGGATTCTAATAGGTCAACGAATTTCAAATCCTACGTACTCCAGGTTCCTGCAAAACATAAAGAGACATTCTTCGCTCCCGATTTCTGGCCCTCTGGGGTAGTGTTTCGCCGATACAGGGACGCGCCAAAGAAAAAAATTTCCTAAATAGTGTTTAGTTATGTCTATATATTATATATATTTTTAGGTTAAGGTATATATTGCAATGGGCCAATGTTCTTAATTTTTAAGTCCTTGATGCCTGAAATAAAGTTATTGTATTGTATTGTATTGTAATATACAAAAATAATTTTTCAAATCGGACTGGTAGGTCCAGAGATTAGCGCGTTAAAAAAAACAAAAGAACAAAAAAACTCTTCCGCTTTATTATATTAAGTATAGATTATTTATTTGTAACTATTTAAATTTATTGCACTCAGTAATGCGTGGATAAGGTACTCGTCGCCAAATGTTGTGTATTTATGAGGATTCCATCACTAAAACACAAATGTAATGTATATCTCTTATTGAATGACAACACAACTGTCAGATATTAGTTTTTTCGTAGGCCTATAATATGGCTTACGCAGGTACTCTACAATAATATAAATAAAACACGTGTTGTAGATTCATATATATTTTAATAACTTAACTATCTTACATATATCTTTATCAGTACCCACGAAAATTTGCTAGACAATTACCCACTGAAGTTGTCGCTTTTATAGGTGTCAGTGTGCGCGCATCGTTACAACTTCATGGTGTCGTTTTTAGCTGTCAGTGTGCGCGCGCATGTTAAAAATTCACTCTCATAATTTTTCCCAAACGCCCCAAAAGAAGTATAACCTTAAAAATAAAAATCTTGTCTATGGCAAATCCCAATGGTTTATTAATAGGTTCTAATGAATGAATCATTGAATGAATAGTGTATACGTATCCCATCATAAATATAAATTTAGGGGAACCTCTGCATTTTCGTCGTATCTACGCTTGCACGCAATTTTCTAAAAAGCTTTATTGTCTATATATGTGTTCCGACATAAGAAACAAGACAAACAAAAAGTACGGGCACGGCCGCTCATTGCCAACAAAACTAATCCACAAACAAAAGTTGTTTGGTTCTGTTTACTTAATCCCTTTTGAAATATATTATACAAAATATATCTTTAACCTAGCTCGTGTTTATAGCCAAGATTACAATTTAACATATTTTATTACCACGTTTTTTTAAGTCACCTTCGTGTATGCCTGATCGGGTCGAATTTAGTATTTGATTTAAAACTACTTCTTTAGCTCAGAATGGGATGACAATGTAAGAATATAAAGAAATCGTGTGTGTGTACTTATGTACGTACATAGGTAGTTATATTTCTTTAGCGTAACAGTCGAGGGATACTCATCCCAATTTACCTGTCCGGTAGTTGTGGTATGGTATACGGGTATGCGACCCCGGCTTCCCTAGCTATTACTGTCCTATCCCGTGCCCTTCTGGATGGTAATATCCTACATTTCCTATTTCCTACCCTAACTTACTTTACTCTTCCTTTTCACACCACCTATCCTTCCCCTTTTCCTATTCCTACCCTCCGCCAATCCAACGTCTGCCGCGCGGATGGATGCATGGCTAGGGGCGAGCCTAGTCGTTAGCGTGCCACACTGCCCTGGGACCGGGCGACCCCAGAATTAGGCTAGCCTTACCCTGGCATGCGGGGCTCTGCTGGGGGGGACAAACCTTTCCCTCGCTATTCGTGGGAACGCAATGGATAGTCATAAAAATAATTTAATTAACCAAAATGGCGGCGATGTGGTTCGCCACCCATCACGTCTCGTTTCTCGCGGGGGCGAAAAGCGGCCCACGGAGAGCCGCTTCGCTACGTTGAATGTAAGAGGAGGAATGGATGGTAAGGTAGATGAAGTATGTCAGATGATGGATGAACGTTGCATTGATATTCTGTGCGTGAACGAAACCAAGAGGAAAGGATGTGACACCACGGTTCATGGCCCCTACACGGCATACTGGTCGGGAGTCCCCCAAACCAGCCGAGGCTGTCAGGGAGTTGGTGTGATTCTTTCATCTCGAATGGTTGAATGTGTGATGGAGCATGAATGTATAAGCCCAAGACTCCTCTGGATTAGGTTAAAAGTCGGACTCACTCGCTTGTTTATCCTTGGGGTCTATGCACCAACGGATCTGCGTGGAGGTGGGTCCATAAAAACACAACAAGAGAGAGAGGAATTTTGGGATAGCATGAGAGAGGTCTTGAATAAATGCGGAGAAAATGAACGGATCGTGATGTTAGGGGACTTTAATGGATGGGTTGGAGTAAAGCGTGATGGGTATGAAGGAGTTCTGGGTACGTTTGGGGACGAGAGAGTGAATGACAATGGGAGAAGCCTGCTTGAAGTATGCTTGGAATGGAATCTGTGCGTGGCCAACACAATGTTTGACCACAAAAAGATCCATTTGTATACAAGAGATGAGGGTGAGTCTAGAAGTATGATTGATTTTGTAATTGTGGATGAAAGACTGAGGAAGAAAGTGCTAGACACTCGGGCATACCGCGGTGTAGGCCTCGACACAGACCACTTCCTGGTCATAGCCCGAATGCGTGGCCTCTTTAAACGGTGGCGACACCGAGTGGCCGAGCCTACGAGTGTTTTGGACAGAGTAAAAGTGGAAAATCTACAAGAAGAAGAAAAGAAAAACGAGTATGTAGAGAAACTGAAAGAAAGTTTGAAAGGGATAGAAGAGATAGGAGTGATTGAAGATTTGTGGGAGACATTTAAGAAAGGGGTCGTAAATGTTGCTATCGAGGTATGCGGGGTAGCTAAAAGAAGGAAAGCAAGAAAGAATGATAACGTGTGGATGGATAAAGATGTACAAAAGGTTGTGCAAGAAAAGAAGAAAGCGTGGTTGGATTGGTTAGCAACAAAAGCTAACCAAAAAGTTCAAAAGGCAACGGATGACGAGATAAAGGAAGCAAGAACGAAGTATAAAAGATTGAAAACAGCAGCGAAAGAAATTGTGTCTAGAAAGAAAGAAGAACGAAAGGATGATTTCGATAGGAGGCTCACTGAAGATTTCCAGTCAAACATTAAGTTTTTCTGGAAAACCATCAAAACAGCCAGAGGAAAAACTTCTACCTCTGAGCTGAGTACAATCAGGAGTCAAGATGGGAGCATTATAAAAGGAGAAGAATGTGTGTTAAAGAGATGGAAAGAGTATTTTGAAAGTTTGTTTGTTGATGAAAATGAGATAAGCATGGATGAAATAGTGAAAGCGTTGAAAAGTATGAGATTAGGTAAGGCTGCAGGGTATGACAGGATTACCGTCGAGATGCTGAGGGCTGGACAGGGCCTGGTGGCTAGTCAGCTGTACCGCCTTTTCAATCTGTGCTGGCGAAATGGGCAAGTACCGGGAGACTGGTGCAAAGCCGTAATCGTGCCATTGTATAAGAGAAAAGGGTCACGGCAGGACTGCATAAATTACCGCGGTATAAGCCTTCTCAGCGTCGTCGGTAAATTGTATGCGAAAGTGTTGATTGAAAGGATTGTGAATGAAACAGACAAGAAAGTATGGGATGCACAAGCGGGATTTAGAAAGGGAATGGGATGTACGGATCAGGTCTTTTCCTTGCGGTGCATAGCCGAAAAGTATTTGGCTAAAAACAGGAAAGTCTACTGCGCGTTCGTAGATCTAGAAAAGGCCTATGATAGAGTGGTGAGGAATGAATTGTGGTCAGCACTGTCCGTGAACGGTGTGAGCAGTATCCTCATACGAGCAATGCAATCTCTTTATAGGGATTCTAGTGCTTGTGTAAGAATAAACGGGGCATACACTGAATGGTTTAATATCGAAAAAGGTGTTAGACAGGGATGTGTAGCGTCACCGTGGCTGTTTAATCTGTTCATGGACAATTGTTTGACAGATTTAAAAGAGAATGAAAGTGGGTTGAGAATGAATGAGTTACTCGTCAAATGTTTTCTCTATGCTGATGACCAAGTATTACTTGCGTCTTCGGCCGAGGAGTTGCAGGAGATGGTAACTGCTATGAGTGGAGCTTTTGTTAGAAAGGGAATGAAGATGAATGTAAGGAAGACGAAAGTGATGGTGTTTGAAAAAGATGAGGCAGTGACAGACTGCAATATCGTGATTGAAGATGAACAAATTGAACACGTGAAAGAGTTTGTGTATCTGGGTTCAAAGTTTACAAGAGATGGAAAGTGTGAGAGTGATATCGAAAGAAGAGTCAATGCAGGAAACATGGTGAATGGAGCTTTGCACTCCTTTATGAGCAGTCGGAAGGTGTCTAACAAGGCCCGTTTGGCTGTGCATGAGGGGGTGTTGGTTCCGACACTCATGTACGGAAGTGAAACTTGGGTATGGCAGAAGAAACATGAAAGCAGAATAAATGCAGTTGAGATGAGAGCATTAAGAAGTATGATAGGAGTTAAACTGAGTGACAGGCTAAGAAATAG